GTAGATCAATTTAATTTATTTAATCTGGTCACCAGCGGAGAAGCACAAAACAAATGTCTTCTGAAGACTTGAGATACAAGGGTTAGCAGTTATCTGGGTCAAATCTTTCTCAAAATCCCAAAGGTGGAGTGCCATTATGAGTTCCACAATATCTACTGTCAAAATCTTAACATAAATCCTCTTTAACACTCCAGATACTCCAGGCACATTAATTATTCCTCTCTGTTTGGATTTAGTCGAGAGGCCTTGATATGAAATCAGGAGCCAGAAGAACATTAGAGGATACAATTAATATCTGACATGGTCAAGAGTTCTGTGCTCAACTTCTCACATTTGAAGAGGATGACAAATGAAAATTAACCTCCAGACCTTAATTTTTTCACTGGGTCGAGTAAAAGGGAAGAGATGGTAATTCATCCATGGAATCAGCATGAGTGGTCGGCGTGAGGGCTTCAGTGTAATGGTCATTAGTGATGCACTCAATGCTAAACGCAATCAGAAGATGCATTAGCTGCAAAAGGGAGGGAGCGAATTTTACAGCACATTTCTGCTTGTAAATTGATTTGACTTGAAATGAGTGAATGATCAGAGGTTTAAATTCTGTATCATTGTGCAGTAATGACAGCTAAAACTCTGTGTTTCATCTACTGTATCACCAGCTAATCTTCAGATCTTAGCTCAGCTTGCTCACTTGATAGCTTCAGAGACACGCAGGATTACCTTTGGAAATCCTTTTCATAATGAAAAAATAAATCAATTTGACAGATTCATTTGGAAATGTCTCTATATTGAAGTTTGAGGTCAGGATGATTTTTTTTAATGTTTTTTTTTTAAAGGAGTCTTTTATGCTTCATTTGACTATAAATACAGCAGAAACAGTAATATTGTAACAATTAGGACATACATTACTATACTTTTAAAATGTAATTTTTTTGCCCCGATGGCAAAGCTAAAATTCACTCATCTTCTGTATCACATGATCCTTCAGAAATCATTCTAATATGCGGATTTGCTGCTCAAGAAACATTTCTGATTCTAAATGTTGAAAACCGGGTGCAGCCGTTTCTTTCAGGATTCTTGGAATAGAAAATCAATTTCCTTTGACAGCATTTATATTGAAATAAAAAAAATCGTTTGACGATAATTATCTTTACTGTCAATTTCGATCAACTTAATGTATCCTTTCTGAATAAAAATTAATTTCTTAAAAAAAAAAAAAAACTACTCCAAACTCTTAAACACGTACTGTATTATAAAGTGAAGTGACATGTGGCCAAGTATGGTGACCCATACTAGGAATTAGTGCTCTGCATTTAACCCATCCAAAGTGCACACACACAGCAGTGAACACACACACACCGTGAACACACACCCGGAGCAGTGGGCAGCCATTTATGCTGCGGCGCCCGGGAAGTGCCTTGCTCAAGGGCACCTCAGTCGTGGTATTGAAGGTGGGAGAGAGCACCGTACATTCACTCCCCCCACCTACAATCCCTGCCAGTACGAGACTCGAACCCACAACCTTTGGGTAACAAACACTGTAACATCAAACAGTGCAGAGCTACAGTCTGATAAGTAAAATGAAGATTTTATTTTAGACACATTTGAGCAATATACAAAACATTTTATTTGTTTTTCAAAGGAAGTGCTTCAAAATCTACATTTTTTACATTTTAAGGAGAATGTTTCATGAAAAAACTAACAATATCAACTCAAATCTTCAGCGTTCATCTTCACAGTAGACCAATGCACTCTTCTCTTGTGTGAATAACTGCCCATCATCTGTCTATCACAAGTAACAAATGCAGATGTGTCACGTACAATGCAATAGAACAGTATGTGTGATATTGTGTGTGTGTGTGTGTGTTACATAGGTGCATGCAGGGCTAGCCCGAGCCTTTATGGGGCCCTAAGCTAAATTTTATTTGGGGGCCCCTTGGTGCCACCAATACGACTGATTATTGCCAATGCTTGATTATTCGCACACTATAAATCTTAATATCTTCCCGGTCTACTGACTTTTATTTATGACTTACTATAACTCTCGTCAACTCTACAATAAGTAAATCCACTTTACCAGCTAATTACTCGTCAACAGTGATGCTATAGAGCAGGGGTCTCCAAACTTGGTCCTGGAGGGCCGGTGTCCTGCAGAGTTTATCTCCAAATGACCTCAACACACCTGCCTGCAAGTTTCTACTGCAGTGGTTCTCAATTCCAGTCCTCGCTTACCGCCGCTCTGCACATTTGTGACCCTGGAGCACAAAACCAGTGTTAAGTCGCTGGGGTATATTTGTAGCAATAGCCAAAAAAAACATTGTATGGGTCAAAATTATTGATTTTTCTTTTATGCCAAAAATCATTAGGATATTAAGTAAAGATCATGTTCCATGAAGATATTTTGTATATTCCCTACTGTAAATATATCAAAACTTAATTTTTGATTAGTAATATACATTGCTAAGAACTTCATTTGGACAACTTTAAAGGCGATTTTCTCAGTATTTTGATTTTGTTTTGCACCCTCAGATTCCAGATTTTAAAATATTGTCCGATCCTAACAAACCATACATCAGTGGAAAGCTTATTTATTCAGCTTTCAGATGATGTATAAATCGCAATTTCGAGAAATTGACCCTTATGACTGGTTTTGTGGTCCAGGGTCACATTTTGTATATTTCTCTTATCACTTCAGACATTTGATCTATTTGACCATAGCGTGCCCTGAGAAGTGGATATTCACAGGATATTCCGCCGTGATTCCAGTTCGAAGGGAGCGTACATTATATGTTCCATTCAAAGGGCATTAAAGTGTGCGAGATGTGAATTTAAATTGTATTTATTTACAGAGATATATTATGCCACTCTAGTAAGTTTCATTTGTGTGTAAAGACGTTGCAGGCCGTGGCGTAGCGCAAATCCACGAATAAATGTTCCTTAGTGATTGCAATGGATTTCCCGTGCTCAGAGAGTAGGGAGCAGTGAACACTGTTTAGGGATCATGTCAATTGGAGCACAGTTGATGCATGGAGCTCTCTTCTTACGAGCTGGTGATCTCGAGACATGCAAAATATGCAGAGCGGTGGTACACGATGACTGGAATTGAGAACCACTGTTCTAGTATGCCTAATAAGAGCTTGATTAGCTGGTTCAGGTGTGTTTAATTGGGGTTGGAGCTAATCTCTGCAGGACACCAGACCTCCAGGACCGAGTTCTGCTATAGAGCTACCGCAAAAAAAAAGAAAGTTCAAAAACAAAATTCTAAAGATGGCCGCGCATTGTTTCTCTGACGCATATACGATCTATAAAGAATGCAAAGGCTCCATGGATGCAATAACCTTTATTTTTAAGAAGAATGTAGATCAATTTAATTTATTTAATCTGGTCACCAGCGGAGAAGCACAAAACAAATGTCTTCTGAAGACTTGAGATACAAGGGTTAGCAGTTATCTGGGTCAAATCTTTCTCAAAATCCCAAAGGTGGAGTGCCATTATGAGTTCCACAATATCTACTGTCAAAATCTTAACATAAATCCTCTTTAACACTCCAGATACTCCAGGCACATTAATTATTCCTCTCTGTTTGGATTTAGTCGAGAGGCCTTGATATGAAATCAGGAGCCAGAAGAACATTAGAGGATACAATTAATATCTGACATGGTCAAGAGTTCTGTGCTCAACTTCTCACATTTGAAGAGGATGACAAATGAAAATTAACCTCCAGACCTTAATTTTTTCACTGGGTCGAGTAAAAGGGAAGAGATGGTAATTCATCCATGGAATCAGCATGAGTGGTCGGCGTGAGGGCTTCAGTGTAATGGTCATTAGTGATGCACTCAATGCTAAACGCAATCAGAAGATGCATTAGCTGCAAAAGGGAGGGAGCGAATTTTACAGCACATTTCTGCCTGTAAATTGATTTGACTTGAAATGAGTGAATGATCAGAGGTTTAAATTCTGTATCATTGTGCAGTAATGACAGCTAAAACTCTGTGTTTCATCTACTGTATCACCAGCTAATCTTCAGATCTTAGCTCAGCTTGCTCACTTGATAGCTTCAGAGACACGCAGGATTACCTTTGGAAATCCTTTTCATAATGAAAAAATAAATCAATTTGACAGATTCATTTGGAAATGTCTCTATATTGAAGTTTGAGGTCAGGATGATTTTTTTTTTAATGTTTTTTTTAAAGGAGTCTTTTATGCTTCATTTGACTATAAATACAGCAGAAACAGTAATATTGTAACAATTAGGACATACATTACTATACTTTTAAAATGTGATTTTTTTGCCCCGATGGCAAAGCTAAAATTCACTCATCTTCTGTATCACATGATCCTTCAGAAATCATTCTAATATGCGGATTTGCCGCTCAAGAAACATTTCTGATTCTAAATGTTGAAAACCGGGTGCAGCCGTTTCTTTCAGGATTCTTGGAATAGAAAATCAATTTCCTTTGACAGCATTTATATTGAAATAAAAAAAATCGTTTGACGATAATTATCTTTACTGTCAATTTCGATCAACTTAATGTATCCTTTCTGAATAAAAATTAATTTCTTAAAAAAAAAAAAAAACTACTCCAAACTCTTAAACACGTACTGTATTATAAAGTGAAGTGACATGTGGCCAAGTATGGTGACCCATACTAGGAATTAGTGCTCTGCATTTAACCCATCCTAAGTGCACACACACAGCAGTGAACACACACACACCGTGAACACACACCCGGAGCAGTGGGCAGCCATTTATGCTGCGGCGCCCGGGAAGTGCCTTGCTCAAGGACACCTGTCGTGGCATTGAAGGTGGGAGAGAGCGCTGTACATTCACTCCCCCCACCTATAATACCTGCCAGTACGAGACTCGAACCCACAACCTTTGGGTAACAAACACTGTAACATCAAACAGTGCAGAGCTACAGTCTGATAAGTAAAATGAAGATTTTATTTTAGACACATTTGAGCAATATACAAAACATTTTATTTGTTTTTCAAAGGAAGTGCTTCAAAATCTACATTTTTTACATTTTAAGGAGAATGTTTCATGAAAAAACTAACAATATCAACTCAAATCTTCAGCGTTCATCTTCACAGTAGACCAATGCACTCTTCTCTTGTGTGAATAACTGCCCATCATCTGTCTATCACAAGTAACAAATGCAGATGTGTCACGTACAATGCAATAGAACAGTATGTGTGATATTGTGTGTGTGTGTGTGTGTGTCTGGGCCAGTCTTTCCAGGACTATGCAGAAGTCTCCGTGTGTTCAGGCCTGAGCCAGTCGCTCCAGGACTCTGCGATACTCCGCCAGCACATCCTGGTAGCTTTTCTCCAGCTCCTCGTGTTGCAGTCTCGTGTCCATCTGGCTGATTTGGGATGCCAGCTCCTCTGGCCTCAAACACTTCTGCATCTTAGTCAGCTCACGCTGGTTTTTCTACACACAAGGCAAAAGCGGTGTCAGTACAGCGCAGGAGAAAATAAGATGCAAAGCAGTTCACCAGATCCCATCCAAAAACTGCCATTGAACAGAAACCCCAGGGCACATGTGATTACATCACAGCTGAACTTCATGTATAAAAACCCAACGAGAGAACGAGAGGAGAAATAAAAGAGCTATGAACAAAAACAGAGTCTGTACGGTTGTTGAGAGGCGTTGGCACTGAACCAAGACTGACGAAACATGAATTCAAAAGAAAGCGCACACACAGACACAATATATAGAATATATACAGATTTAGGATTCGCATTCACTAAACTCGCAGCTTCATATTCAGTGACAACTATAAGAAGCCATCAATCAGCTGATTTTCTTTTTAATCTACTTTTTCTAAAACGTCCGCAGGGAGTTTACATGCATGACATATCAGCCAATCACTGTTGTCCTCATAGAGCAACTTACATTTTAAAAAACAGAGAGAGAGAGAGAGAGAGAGAGAGAGCGCGAGCGAGCGAGGGGGCATATGGTCTGCAGATCCTGCTCTATTTCCTTTCCAGCCTCATGTTTTTCACTCTTTCTTTGGCTCGGTCTGTTTCGTCTGGTGTGTGCGTGCGGTTATTCTGCTGTCAGAGTTCTCTGTCCTGGACAGTGTCATGATGAGAGCGGTTCTGATCCAACACATTACCGCTGCTGGAGCTTCAGCACCAAAGCACATATCCCATCATCCCACATTATCTGCAACACATCAACTAATATCACCATAACCTCCAAAGAGAATCAAGACACATGGAGCGAAAAGAAACAGCTAATCGAGTTAAAAGATAAATGAAATAAGATGAAAAGATAAAGACCACTGCACAAAATCTCTGGCAGCAGAATTTTGCAAAAACCTCCTGAGAATTGCAAAGTTCCAAAACCTGTCTGACATTCGTTCTACTGTGGAACTCAAAAAGGGAAATTCAGCAGAATGTTCACGCTGCTCTTTACCATACAATGAACACAAACAGTAACTAGAACATATTAAAGGGTTACTCCACCCTAAACTGAAAATGGTCATTAATCACTTACCCCCATGTCATTCCAAACCCGTAAAAGCTTTGTTCGTCTTCGGAACACAATTTAAGATATTTTGGATGAAAACCAGGAGGCTTGTAACTGTCCCATTGACTGCCAAGTAACTTACACTGTCAAGGCCCAGAAAAGTATGAAAGACATCATCAAAATAGTCCATTTACCATCAGCGGTTCAATCTGAATTTTATGAAGTGACGAGAATACCTTTTGTACGCCAAGAAAACAAAAACAACAGATATGCACCACAAGGATATGTTTTCTGTTTATTTACGCTTTGATTTCAACGAAAACAGTGTAACCGTGTGGTACGGCTGACACAGAACAGCATACGCCGTTTGTGTTCAGTGGATACTCTCCAAAAAGACGAATTGCTAAATAAAGTCGTTATTTTTGTTTTCTTTGCATACAAAAGGTATTCTCATCGCTTCATAACGTTACTGTTGAACAACTGATGGTAAATGGACTATTTTGATGATGTCTTTCATACTTTTCTGGGCCTTGACAGTGTAAGTTACTTGGCAGTCAATGGGACAGTTACAAGCCTCCTGGATTTCATCCAAAATATCTTAAATTGTGTTCCGAAAACGAACAAAGCTTTTACGGGTTTGGAACGACATGGGGGTAAGTGATTAATGACAAAATTTTTATTTTGGGATGGAGTATCCCTTTAAGCTCCAAAAAAAGGGGGTAAAATAATAACAATAAAATGCCATAAAAGAATTCCAGAAGTACGTCACATACTATTTTACAAGATTTCTGAAGACATATGATAGCTTTGTGTGAGAAAGAATCATGATCATTTTATTCTCATGATCATTTTGAGAAAGAATGTCGTAAATTGCTATTCACTAAAAGACTGCTCTAAAATATCACTTGTGGTTATGCAATATACATTTATCGTGATTTTGTTTGTTTTTGGTCATGACAGCTACTAGCCACAATATGCTTTCATTATAGAAAAAGAGTAACTAGGAGATTTTTGCAAATATCGCCTTTTGTGTTCCACAGAAGAAGTTCAAACTTTGAACAAAATGAAGAATGATATTTCACATAATGATTCTTTTTTTCACAGTTCAAAATGCTTATTTTTTCAGAATTGTATTGATGAATCGTAAGTAAAAAATAATTAAAAAAATTTGTTTTATATATATATATATAAACAGCATTTATTTGAAAAAGATATATTTTGTAACATTGTAAATATCTTTCCTGTAACTTTTGATCAACTGAATTTAGATTTAATTAATTTACTGACCCCAAACTTTGGAATGGTAGTATATTTCTTAAAATATATTGGCCAATACTATAATGCATAGATTTAGTTTCTCCCATAATCAGTGCAGAAGTTGTGTGGGCTTACGGATAACTGAAGACATTAAAATACAGCGTCAAACTGCTCAAAATTATAACTAACATATTCACAAGCCTGCAGAAAGATAACTATCGAGGTCAAAAGAATTTCGTGATACTGCACAGCTCCAGTCCTGAGATACGCAACTGTAGCATGTCTTCATGCAGAGAGAGCGGATTAGAGAGAGAGGCCGTGCGCAGGTGACTGGGTGCTGCATTTTTCCTGCTAAATGGCTTCGCTTAAATCAGATGCAAATCTGTAATAATGACACTTGTTGTGAATGAAGCTCGTGGTGTGGATGTGGAGACTGCGGCTGCCGCCCGGCGTGAGCCATTATACCCTCAAACAAACCCAGACCGAGGCCTCGGGTCCCTCTCGCTCTTAACACCGCGTGAGAGGATCACACAGGAAACGCCGCAAACTATTCACGCCACTCAATGAATAAATTATACCAGACAAAGACTGCAGAATATCAGAACAGCAGCACTGAAAGACTTTTGTTTCTGTTCATTTTTATACAGCGCATTTAAACAGGGCTAGAAATGTGCAGCTCTCTTTGAAGTCCAGAAATGCTTCATTTCACATGTTGTCGTTTGAGCTGTGCGGTTTGGAGAACATTATACAAGCAGGCCAATCTAGGCAGTCGCAGCCAGGGTTTGTTTTGGCAAGACTTCACTTGTTTGGTTGTTTCTTGAAATCCATGTTCAGCACACGAAGCTCAGGCTCTGCGCTTTATGACTGACTAATCAGTACATTACCCATTAGGCGTAACTGCTACAACTCCCATGCAATGAGTCAGATCGCAGTATTCTGCTTCTTAAAAGCAGTCAGTTAATGCAGACAAACAGGGATGGACCTACAGATAACATGAGCAGATAAAACACACACACTTACTCTGTAGGGTCCATAGAGTCTTTTTTTCACCTCCAATCGAAATTCTTTGGCTTTCTCTTCATCGCTCATGTCTGTGTTTCTGAGACGCAGGATTTCATAAACACGGCGTGCATGTTTCTGAAAGTTAGACAGTAGACAAGAGACATACTGTAAAGCTTTGTTTCTTTTAACAAATTCTAGCTTTTTCAACCTAAAATTTGGGGACAGCATCTGTGGCACCTTGAGCAGAATATGTGAGGTTCCGATTTTCTTGCACTTGCATTGTTAAATAATATTTTGTTCAAATTGTGAACATTGTCAATACAGTACTTTAGAGGTGGAACTACTTTCAGTTGAAAGTCTGGTTATGCATTACCAATGTAATTCCTGTGAGTAGAGTTCAGGAAGAACATAATTTTTGCAAAATAAACACAGATAGGGTGATAAGGATACAAAGATGAAGGGTCTTCTATCACCCTGAGGGGGTTTATTTTATGATAATGACCAGCTGACTGTGCAATATTCATTCAATCACACCGTTTTCCCAAACAAATTAAACATGGACATGAAATATTGGTTTTATATGATTTTATGTGAAAATAAAGAGAGCATTGAGCGATATGAGAGGCAAGATCTTGCACAGCTATATAAGAAATGCGTAAAAACGGTCAGTGTGCCACAGATGCTATCCATAAAGCATAAGCTGTGACATCCACAAATGCAAAAGTCAAAACCTGAATCAAAAACAGAACATCATGCAAATTATAAATATGGCTTCATACTAGAGATATAATCATATGAAATGTTTACTGTGCTATGTACTTTAGGTACGTTTTGCTATAAGTATTTTTTATATTGATGAGGGGAACGAGCACAGATGATTAAAAAGTTTCTAATCAACCAAACATGAAAAGGAAGCTTACGTCGCATGTCATATTAAAATAAGGTGTAACATCTAATGTCCATATGCTAACTCTCAATGGAGAATAATGTAATTTTGTAACAGCAAAGAGCAGCAATTACTGAATGACTCTTTAACCATGTCCAATTCTCTGGGTTAAAACCATAATGCTCTAGTGCTATTCTGAATCTGTAACCATGACTCAAAGAGGTCCACCATACCACACGCAGTTCCCACTAGCGTAGTATGGAGAGCCAAGCATTTTGCCTGGCCATGCCACAGGCACCACCCTGAGATAATCACTCACAAACAACATGAACAGAGGGGAGTGTGGGGCATAAAAGGGGATGCTGGGTTATAATTGGAGCAGCTAAAGAGTGGCCGAAGTGGCGAGAGATAGAGGAGTCCCACAGGGGTCACTGTTAGGCCCACTCCCACTACCTGCTAATGGCCAGCGGCCTCCAGAGGAAACGGATGTTCACTCGTACCTTTAGGGTAGCATTACAAGTTAGAAACCCATCAGGACAAAGCCAATACCTCTATATATATAAATGCACAAACACTTAACTGTATAATTACTTGGCTTTTTCATCTACAACAGCACCAGCAAAGTTTTACAGCAACAGTAAAGCTTCAAAGAAACATGACAAAAATAGTGCTGGGTGAAAAGAGCTGGAATTTATGAATTTAAATATACAGTATCTTGAAGTTTGTTCTGAAATTTTTTTTCTCCGTTTTTTTTTTGGCAAGCTATTGTTGATAAGCATATTCAAAACAGAGTAAAAAAAATGGTTAGTCTCCCAATAAAGAATGATATTTAATTAACTGATATGCATCAATATAACCATGTAAAACGAACAGTGCTACACATATATTTTTAACTAAAACATTTCGAAGCATATAAAATGCCACGCAGGAACTGTTTTCAGTGATCACATACCATTGACTTGACTAAAAACAAAACAGTTTAAAAGAACCGATTCATTAAAATTAATCAAACTATCTAATGAGGTTTGAAAACAGGTGCTATTTAAATATCTCGGTCTTCACACTCTAGTGAAGCTGGCCTTCAGGATACGTAATAGCAAAATAAAATGCACAAATCATTATAAGTCTAAAATACTTATTCAATGTACAACACACTGAGCTGAGGTGCTCATACGGGCAATGCAGGTTTGAATCCAGCTTGTGACTTCATCACATAGTAAGTAAATAAACCTGCAAGGGATGTTACCTTGTTGATCTTGAGTTTCTCTCTGGCCTCAGACACCATCTCTTCACTGAAGCCCTGAGAGAGTTTCTCACTGGAGAAGGAGGGCAGAGTCAAGCACAGCTTCACCAGCACAAAATCTCTCAGCTTCACATAGTTTTCAGACGGGTCCTCCGCTGCGGAGCAGACAATCACAAAAAGTCAACTCATGAGAGTCTAGAAAGTTTTCAATTGGTAAAATACAGTATGAAGATATTGACGCCAGACAAACATAACTCAACCTCCAAAGAAAACACTCATTACTTATGCTGAATGCATCATTAGTGAGAAATAAGCTAGATGCATGTTTACTCTGGTAATCAGGGGAAACAAAGACTTACTAAACTAATGACTAGTCGTTAGTCACTGACCGAAGAGACAGACAGAGTAGAAAAGACCTAGATTAGGGCTGATGTGGAATATTTACAATATATTGCTGCTGATGTTGTTGGCGACATACAATTCAGCAACAAGCTATTATCATGATTTTAATGCACTTAAGAAAGACCGCACTATTAGACTAAAGTTGACCTCACTGCCTCACAAACGCAGGAGCATTAAGACAAATGTTTTAAACATGTCTAATATCTTCAGTAGCTAAAATATCAATAGAATAGCTAAGTTTGAATGCTGACATTTTTTATTTGTGTGCCATTAAAAATGTTCATGGGAGTGTCCATATGGCATTTTGTGTTATATTCCAGTGGTTCTCAATTGGTTTGGCCATCAAGCCGCTACCCACTTTTTTAGGATATATATATATGTGTGTGTGTGTGTGTTTTAAAAAAACAAAGCAAATTTATTTCACAAAAATTGTCGACACACAAAAGTACTGTCCCCCTTTACTTAAAATATATGACTAATACTGATGAATAAACAGCCTATAAAAGGTAAGGCTATTAAACAGTCCCAAACTAGTTTTTGTTAATACGGTTAAGTTGGTATAAGCCACCACAGTCATTTAAACATATACAAAATAGCACAAAGTGAAAATAATATGGCATTTTTGGGTTATGGAAACAGTTACCATGGTGAATACACAATACTAACATGAACGGTTAATGAAACATGTAAACTGCTCCTGAATAGAATGAATATCATACCTTCATGCAAATCCTTCCCAGCCTACACAAAAAAGCACCAGTTACGTGGTTTATTGGTACTTTACTTTTATCTGCATGCTCGTAGTTTCTTTTGCGCTTTAGTGAAATGCCATACAGCACGCCGCCGCATTTGTGCGTGCAACTGAAGAGTGCACACTATGAGCACAGTATAACGTCTGACAGCACAGGATAGCTCGTTTTTCTGAGGTGAGAGACTTTTTATTTATAAGTTACAAAAATAACAGTAGAATAATGACGCTGACATTACGTCTGACAACATCTCATCTGACCGCAGATACTGAAACAGTGCGTTTTTCTCAGGCAGTCTTTACTAAAACTGCATCTAACAGAAGTGTCAACAGCTTTCACGCACGTCTTTCAAAATAACAGTCTCGAATCAGAAAAATGTTGAATTACATTTTTTGTAGTTGATGTTTCTTTGACTGTACACTTCACGACCCACCAGTTGAGAAACACTGTTATTTGCAGTAAAAATATATGCAGGTAAATATTGCTGTTTATTACCATGTATGTACTGTTATATTCATGTATGATTGAGGTAAATTATTAAATATTATTATGTGTTCATTTAGTGAAAAAAACAGGTTGATTATTAACTACATGTTAATAAACATGACTGTTTTACTTGAATTCCCCACTTTGGGGGGGGGGGAAGTAATTTCACAGCTAGCTAACTAGATAGACAAATAAATACATACATAAGTTTTTCTTTCTCTATACATAGAGAGAGAAATAAACAGAAATGGTAAAATAGTGAGTGCTGGGTAGATTTGGTAGAGTGTGGTCGCCCCCACTCTCTCTCTCTCTCTCTCTCTCTCTATTTTAATGCACTTAAGAAAGACCGCACTATTAGACTAAAGTTGACCTCACTGCCTCACAAACGCAGGAGCATTAAGACAAATGTTTTAAACATGTCTAATATCTTCAGTAGCTAAAATATCAATAGAATAGCTAAGTTTGAATGCTGACATTTTTTATTTGTGTGCCATTAAAAATGTTCATGGGAGTGTCCATATGGCATTTTGTGTTATATTCCAGTGGTTCTCAATTGGTTTGGCCATCAAGCCGCTACCCACTTTTTTAGGATGTGTGTGTGTGTGTGTGTGTGTGTGTTTTAAAAAAACAAAGCAAATTTATTTCACAAAAATTGTTGACACACAAAAGTACTGTCCCCCTTTACTTAAAATATATGACTAATATGACTAATACTGATGAATAAACAGCCTATAAAAGGTAAGGCTATTAAACAGTCCCAAACTAGTTTTTGTTAATACAGTTAAGTTGGTATAAGCCACAGTCATTTAAACATATACAAAATAGCACAAAGTGAAAATAATATGGCATTTTTGGGTTATGGAAACAGTTACCATGGTGAATACACAATACTAACATGAACGGTTAATGAAACATGTAAACTGCTCCTGAATAGAATGAATATCATACCTTCATGCAAATCCTTCCCAGCCTACACACCAAAGTACCAGTTACGTGGTTTATTGGTACTTTACTTTTATCTGCATGCTCGTAGTTTCTTTTGCGCTTTAGTGAAATGCCATACAGCACGCCGCCGCATTTGTGCGTGCAACTGAAGAGTGCACACTATGAGCACAGTATAACGTCTGACAGCACAGGATAGCTCGTTTTTCTGAGGTGAGAGACTTTTTATTTATAAGTTACAAAAATAACAGTAGAATAATGACGCTGACATTACGTCTGACAACATCTCATCTGACCGCAGATACTGAAACAGTGCGTTTTTCTCAGGCAGTCTTTACTAAAACTGCATCTAACAGAAGTGTCAACAGCTTTCACGCACGTCTTTCAAAATAACAGTCTCGAATCAGAAAAATGTTGAATTACATTTTTTGTAGTTGATGTTTCTTTGACTGTACACTTCACGACCCACCAGTTGAGAAACACTGTTATTTGCAGTAAAAATATATGCAGGTAAATATTGCTGTTTATTACCATGTATGTACTGTTATATTCATGTATGATTGAGGTAAATTATTAAATATTATTATGTGTTCATTTAGTGCAAAAAACAGGTTGATTATTAACTACATGTTAATAAACATGACTGTTTTACTTGAATTACACACTTTGGGGGGGGGGGAAGTAATTTCACAGCTAGCTAACTAGATAGACAAATAAATACATACATAAGTTTTTCTTTCTCTATACATAGAGAGAGAAATAAACAGAAATGGTAAAATAGTGAGTGCTGGGTAGATTTGGTAGAGTGTGGTCGCCCCCACTCTCTCTCTCTCTCTCTCTCTCTCTGAATAATTGTGTCTTTGTTGAGGGGGTGAGTGAGTGGCAGCATGTGGCCAGCACATTTCAGCAGCAAACTGCCGGCAATTAACATCACATCCCTTCACCTCCCCAAAACTGAAGGCAGAGCAACTCAACAGCAACAACTGCCGTACCAAAGGAAATGCACAACACTTTGCCCTCTCTCCCTTTCACACACATTAGAATGGATGTGTGATCAGATCATACAGGTTGGCTTTCTGAACACACACTCTAACGATACAAGGCTTTAATTAATTAATTCATTCATTTTTTGTCACATAAAATTATTTGGAAAAAAATTCCAAGATAAAAATCAAGAAAGCAACAAACCAAATTATAATCGACTGCATTGGAACTGTCATGTTGTCATTTTTGGCTGTATTAATGCATGTAAAAATTGGTCAACCAAGATGTTATTTATTTATTTTATTTATTTTTCATATCAGTCATTTATTATTACGTAATTACGAAAAGTACGAAAATGTTTTATTATTTATTATTTGAGAATAAAGAGGCTGTAAGTTGATGTGAAGTGAATGAAACTATCATAGCTATATAAAAACAATATAGCTATGCTACTACAATGTAGTGCTCTGTTCGATACGACGATGTATCGTCACAGAGATTTGACGCCCTGTATCGATATTGTGACACGTGTGCAGCAGTGGACCGTGCTTAATTTGAATACGAGAACACGGTTTAAAATAGAGTAGAAAAGTGTGAGGTTTCTAAAAAGAATGAATAGAGCATAATATATAGGCTACAACAAGGTTTAATCTGGCCGCAGAGGAACACAACCGGGGTTGCCTGATATATAGAGACGTAATCCCCAAAACAGAGCTTCTCACTTGTGCAATACGGAAATTTCTGCTAAGCGTGCTACTTGTTATTGTCAACCTGGCAACCCTGTGCACACGCGCTCTCTCCACTGTGGATAAACGCGCTTGCTTTCTGAAAACACCGGTAAGCTTGCAGTTTAGCGATCTCCACTTCAATACTCTATTCTCAGAAAAGTGTAATTCATCAAGTGTTCACTTACAAGAGAGAGAGAGAGAGAGGCTGTGTATGTATGAATTACCACCGTTTTGCCACGTTTCTCTATTAACAGTGAAGCTGTGGCTTTAATTCCTTTAGAAACAATGATGCTACCAGCTCCTTGTTGAGAAAGATAATGTAGCTCTTGAGCGATTAAGCTATTTAGTTGATAAAACTGCGGGGCAGCGCTAAAAAGTTTGTTCTTGAATGTCTGAGTGTGGCCACAGCGTGATCTGTGTGAGTGACTGAGCGTGTGTGTGCGTTAGATACAGAAGACACAGCGCATTGGTTTACAACTCTTCTAATTTTTATTTTTTAAACGTAGAGAGTGTGTTAATTTGTGCAATGATAACCTACCAGCAATGTAAATATGATTTTTTAATATATTATGAGTGCATTACAATATAAATGTATTAGAACGAGTACATTATTATTTATAGGCTTAAAACAAGATGCAAACAATCAGAATGTTGTACCTGGTGGGGAGTGCACAATGTAAACATGAAACATATGCCATTACCTATATTGTACTGTGGTACAGTTATGGAGGCCCTTCATAATGCAGAGGTCAGCTGCCTGCTCTGCCAATAGTTAGAAATGGCCCTATAGTAAGCAGTTTAATAAACAGCTGTTTTTCTCAATTCTGCCGAGGCGAGGTGAAATTCAGTGCTGTATCGTGATACGTATCGTATCTTTGCTGATGATACACAGCCCTACTGCAATGGTCAGCAATAATCCAGTGAGCCGTGTAATAACGTAGATTGAAATTATGTTAGGACCAAAAACTAATTTGACAGCTGATTTTATAATTCTACTGTATTGTTATTAAACAAAATACTCTTGGCCCCATTCACATTTTCTGTTTGCGCATTTATTGTCCTACAGGGGTAGCACCGTGCGGGACAAGTTACAAGCCAAATGATAATACTTACTTAGCATTAATGGTTTGGTTCAAATCTTTAACCTTTAATTATGAGAACTAATCATACTGATCCTGACCAACACCACCAGTAATAAAACTTATTGGTAAAAACCTCAATAAAAATAGAAATAAACTGCTCAAAATAAGACTCAAAACTGTGTAATCTATGCCTCGTGTGGGCTCATACCTGTGATGTCCTGTACTTTAGCAGAAGTGCAGTAGTATCGGTGGACTGTCTCTAAGAGCTGAGCCCCGTGTCCTTCTCCCTGGAATGGTGGCAAGATCAGCATCTGGCTACACACACACACACACACACACACACAAGCTTTAGTGATGCTGCACAGAACAGAAGATACTTAGGCACAATACTAATTTAAGGTTAGAGCTCTTGAGGCTTTGAGCAGCGGTTCTGCAAGCACAGCTCCAGCACCCTTCAGACGCACACTACACGACTGACTTTACAGAATCTGCTGAAACGCACACTATAGGACAGAGCTTTTGCTTAAAGACCAACATTTTACATTGAACATCAGGTGGGGCACATCACCGTAACAAAATTGTTCATCAAACAAAAGTAACAAAAATATCTTAATCAAAAAAGCCTGACATATAAGTCAGAAATGGCTTTTTTCTGTTTTATTTATTTTGAATGGAATAGTTTACTGAGCCGGAGTTACTGAAACTCAGTTTTAGGCCCAAACAGATGCTGACATTTATATGGTCAAAAGTAAGATTCTGACAGTTTGTTATGTAAATCAATGAGATATTTATAACAGTATAACAGACTACTTACATAAAATCCATATCAATTCAGTTGTCACTCTATACTTCCCAATGATATGTCTTAGTAATGATGTTTAAATGCTTAGTTTTAGGATCAAATCTGTGCAGTTTTTTTTTTGTTTTGTTTGTTCTTTTATTGTGGGGGCAAAACATATAATAAAATGCAATGCAATGATTATTGAGAGATAACTACACCCCAAAAACCTGATGTATCTCATGTGATTCATTTTAACATGATTTTTCAAAACAATTATGTTTGGATAATAAACGAAACCTACGTTGCTTCAGTCCAGTAAGTGCTCAAGTTGAAATAGTTCTAACAATATAAAAGTTATTCTTACATTTTCTGCGTATTTCTGTATTTATTCGACTATTTGTTCTACACACGATTACATGCTTAGTTGCAATTTATTCCTTGCATGGTTTTCCCCTGCTATCAGAACTCATTTTGGGTTGCGACCCACCATTTAAGAATGACTAAAACAGACAGTCCCACTTTCATCCGCCTCATTTTAGCTGCTGAAAATATTCTCAAATACAGTAAGCAATGATATCATCAGTCTCCGAGAGGTTATATCTGTTCATTCAGCAGTGGCCAACGTAATGAAACGTTAGTACGACTTGCCAATCAATACATTAGACTCGTTTTCAAGACCAGCTTTCGGGCGGGTGATGCTGAATTCGTGGGTCTTATAATACCCAGTGAGGGGCTGGCGCTCGAGAGACGCAAGACGGTAATTTGGGAGTTTTAGGGACAAGGGAGAGAGAGATGTGTAATTTTCTTTTCCTTTTTTTCGCAGAATAAAGCAGATAGTGGGCACGTGCTTCCTCAGTAATTACCTGACACGTGGTCTGGTTTTGTCTGGGTACACGTAGTAATTATACACTGTCATGTAGCCAACCGTCGCGTAGAGGGTCTCTCCATCCTTATTGTACTTCTCGAATCTGTAAGAAAGACAGAGAGAGATTGAGAGAGATGACAAAGGCGGGCAGGTCAATCGTAGGCACGCTCCCATGCACCGGACCCCCCCCCCCCCCCCCCCCGAGCAGAGAGGCAGGCATCTAGCCTCTTCACATCACTCCAGTCCATTTGCCCATTGTCTGTTTTAATAGGTGCCAAAGCAAAGAAAACACAGGCAGAGTCCCCTTCGCTACCGCTGGAGACTTCATTATTCAGCGTTTCAAAAGACAACAACATTCAATTCAGCCTCTTGGCCTGACTCAAGAAAGAAAGAAACACAAGAGCAAAGAAACGAGACAAACAACACAAAGGAAACTCTTGCCAGATCAACAATTTGCCTCAATGCAGGAGAAAATATAATTAAAGCAGCCTGATAATTGGTCCCACACAAGCAGGAGAGGCGTAACTGGGCCCGTTCGGACGCTTTACATGTGCGTGCGTGTGTGAGAGAGACTCAGGAAAGCACTGCTCAGAAAGTTACTGTTCACTATTAATGGTCACTACCTTCTTATCGGCACTCGCTGGCTTTGTGAGAGCACTTGATGTCTATTTTTTCTGCTTAAGTTATAAACACTCGTCACGAGTTTTTGCCAACAAGTCACATTTATTCAAAGGCTGAGAATATACATCTAGAGCTATCAGAGAGCCTCTTTATTTAGCATTTTATGGAGCTTAAAATATGACAAAACTATTTGAATTTGTGTAAACTTGAATTATTGACAAGTGTCATTTAACAAAACTGAATATTATGTGGCATTTAACATCGTTTTGAATTTGATTTTTTTTAACTTGAATATTTGAAATTTAACACAATTACATTTTTTTATGGCAGAGTTTTATAGACATGTGTTTTCAAACAGCCGATTTTTTGTTCTGAATTCTTAAGACTTGCAAATATCCAGATGTGCGATCTGAATTTCTGCGTTTTGAATTTTAGAATATTGAATTTGATGTTCTGAATTTCTTCATCTTGAAAACTTGAAGCTGTATTTTTAAAAACTGGATATTTGCGGTCTAAGAATTCAGAACAACAACAAAAATCAGCCGTTTGAAAATACATGTCTATAAGAAAAAAAAATCAATTGTGTTAAATTTCAAATATTCAAGTTAAAAAAAAATCTAATTCAGAACTATGTTAGATGCCACATAATATTCAGTTTTGTCACTTGTCAATAATTCAAATTTATACAATTCAAATTCAAATAGTTTTGTCATATTTTAAGCTCCATAGCATTTCTCTGTCAGTGGTTGTCAATTGATTTTGCTTCTGGACCCAGGTTTTACATTCATATCAAGTGGTAAACAGACATGTCCTTAAATAAACAGAACTTTATTAGTCTTACCATGATCTGCATGGACTAACAATATGCAAAAAGTATGTTATTAACATCCCATAGGCTAAATCCATTGGATACTGGGCCAAATAATGGAACACTGTACTTTATATCGAACATATCTAATTAAAACTATTATCTGGGGTTCAATACAAGGAATAGTTGTGGATCAAAATGAACATTTTGTCATCTGGCCCTCATGTTGTTCCAAACCTGTATGACTTTATTCAGCAGAACACAAAAGAAGATATTTTGAATACCAGTGAGTTATATGGGTATTAAAAAAACAAACAAACAGACATTTCCCAAAATTATCTTCTTTTATGCTCCACAGAAGAAAATAAGTCATACATTTGGAACAACATGAGGATGAGCAAACGATTACAAAATTGAAGTGGAATATATCTGTGACAATATCTGTCATACTGTCAATTACCACAGTTAATCGTTTAGATTTTAGTTAACAAATATCGCACTTACAATAATGGACATACAACGGAAGTCTATAGGGCAAGACATTTCAGTGGGTTTCAAATAGGGCTGGGCGATATGGCCAAAAAAATTATCACGGTTATTTTTTCCATATCAGTCGATATCGATAATTATCACGATAAATGTCAAAACTTTATTTCTTTCCAGTTTAAAGCCAGATTTTTGCTCCAAAGTGAAAGTTATAGAAACAAGACCATTCATTTTCCTTAACAAAATAAATATCTGAATAGAAAAATGTGTTTCTTAGTTTCTGCATGTTCTGATGAGTGATATTGTTTCAAATCAAGAAACAGGTTTGGGTTGCCTGATAATATTAATAATAATATCACTTTTTTTTGTCTCTTTTAAATGCACATTTGATAGTAGCATGAGTTAGGATGCAGAGGTACATTTTTGTTCATTATCAAAATCAGTAACACCTGTAAAAGAATTGTAGCAACCTCAGTTTTATACGGTTAAATTTATTCTGACCAAGATTTGTTTTTTGGTTTTAATTAAGCATTGGTCTCCCATAGTAGCATACATTTAAATCATGATAAACACAGTTAAAACCACACATATAACACCTCAATACCATGGTAAAAATATAACTATGTGGTTTTTAAGTAGCCTATTTGTATGCAAAACAGTAGTCAAAAAATATTCAGTATAAATGCACACATGCTATAGCTTAATCACAAATACGTACTATAATTACCATTACTCCCGTATTAAAATTCAATGTGAATATCTCAAGTTTCTGCCACAATACCATGGTGCAGTGAGTGTTACTACCATAAATCCATGGTAAATGATAGTGACGTGTAGATTGAAAAGCATTCTTACTGTCTCGTGGCACACAGTGTTTCTCCTGTTTGGCTTTAAACTAGTTTAAATCACCGAGTCATTTGTGTTTATCGCTGAGTTCAAGCGCTTCACACTCGATCTTTACTCGAGTGACCGAGTAAACACATATGCTCTACTGTAGTGAGCTCGCGCGGCGCAGCAGTTTGAACTGCGATCCGAGCAGATAAACGGTCCGTGTGGCGCGATTCAAATGAGTCGAGCTGATTCGTTCCGCTTTTGGTGCAACATTTATCCATATCGTTTTATCGAGGAAAAGTATATCGCGATAATTATCGTTATCGAATTATCGACCTAGTTTCAAAATTTCAAAACATTATTTGACCTACAGTCATCTAAATTATCCTTTTAGTGGTTGGATTTCTGTTCTAGAGGGAACTCTACTGTTCTTTACAGCTGGTTATGAGTTACAGACAGGTGACGTAAATGTGTTCTGACATCCTTGCATGTATGATGCAAACTTTTAAGTATTCGAAAAGGTCTTTATTTTAAACTGTTTGTGTCTTGTGTCTTTTAGACAGAAGAGCATTACAAAAAAAAGAAAAAAGTAGTCTTTTTTAAATGTTCTCAAATTGAGAAATGAGGGATTCTTTTCTGTGGTAATCAACAGAAGGCCACACGTGCTGTCAATAGTCTCCCCTGAATATAGACTATTCTTTTATTATGAATGTATAAAATGTGACAAATACTGATACAGACTAAATCTGAATCAGGTCTGGTTTAGGCACTCACACGAGGAAGAAATCCCAGCGATCATCATCCACATCGATGAAACTGGCCGTCTCGATGAACCACATGAGAAATGTCTGCAAGCGCTCATGGTACTCTCTGAACCCTGGACACGAGGTGTCCACCTGAAACGATGAAGAGCAGATCAAATCCATGCGGTGTTCACAAGGAAATGTGCTAGAACGTAATTCAAATGTGCAGAGGCAGTCAACATTTCCTAACAACACTTTTGCATAACATGGTACATTGAGTGAAAGTTATAGAAACAAGACCATTCATTTTCCTTAACAAAATAAATATCTGAATAGAAAAATGTGTTTCTTAGTTTCTGCATGTTCTGATGAGTGATATTGTTTCAAATCAAGAAACAGGTTTGGGTTGCCTGATAATATTAATAATAATATCACTTTTTTTTGTCTCTTTTAAATGCACATTTGATAGTAGCATGAGTTAGGATGCAGAGGTACATTTTTGTTCATTATCAAAATCAGTAACACCTGTAAAAGAATTGTAGCAACCTCAGTTTTATACGGTTAAATTTATTCTGACCAAGATTTGTTTTTTGGTTTTAATTAAGCATTGGTCTCCCATAGTAGCATACATTTAAATCATGATAAACACAGTTAAAACCACACATATAACACCTCAATACCATGGTAAAAATATAACTATGTGGTTTTTAAGTAGCCTATTTGTATGCAAAACAGTAGTCAAAAAATATTCAGTATAAATGCACACATGCTATAGCTTAATCACAAATACGTACTATAATTACCATTACTCCTGTATTAAAATTCAATGTGAATATCTCAAGTTTCTGCCACAATACCATGGTGCAGTGAGTGTTACTACCATAAATCCATGGTAAATGATAGTGACGTGTAGATTGAAAAGCATTCTTACTGTCTCGTGGCACACAGTGTTTCTCCTGTTTGGCTTTAAACTAGTTTAAATCACCGAGTCATTTGTGTTTATCGCTGAGTTCAAGCGCTTCACACTCGATCTTTACTCGAGTGACCGAGTAAACACATATGCTCTACTGTAGTGAGCTCGCGCGGCGCAGCAGTTTGAACTGCGATCCGAGCAGATAAACGGTCCGTGTGGCGCGATTCAAATGAGTCGAGCTGATTCGTTCCGCTTTTGGTGCATAAACATTATATCGAACATTTATCAAACTCTTCATATCGTTTTATCGAGGAAAAGTATATCGCGATAATTATCGTTATCGAATTATCGACCTAGTTTCAAAACATAAATGTATTATTTGACCTACAGTCATCTAAATTATCCTTTTAGTGGTTGGATTTCTGTTCTAGAGGGAACTCTACTGTTCTTTACAGCTGGTTATGAGTTACAGACAGGTGACGTAAATGTGTTCTGACATCCTTGCATGTATGATGCAAACTTTTAAGTATTCGAAAAGGTCTTTATTTTAAACTGTTTGTGTCTTGTGTCTTTTAGACAGAAGAGCATTACAAAAAAAAGAAAAAAGTAGTCTTTTTTAAATGTTCTCAAATTGAGAAATGAGGGATTCTTTTCTGTGGTAATCAACAGAAGGCCACACGTGCTGTCAATAGTCTCCCCTGAATATAGACTATTCTTTTATTATGAATGTATAAAATGTGACAAATACTGATACAGACTAAATCTGAATCAGGTCTGGTTTAGGCACTCACACGAGGAAGAAATCCCAGCGATCATCATCCACATCGATGAAACTGGCCGTCTCGATGAACCACATGAGAAATGTCTGCAAGCGCTCATGGTACTCTCTGAACCCTGGACACGAGGTGTCCACCTGAAACGATGAAGAGCAGATCAAATCCATGCGGTGTTCACAAGGAAATGTGCTAGAACGTAATTCAAATGTGCAGAGGCAGTCAACATTTCCTAACAACACTTTTGCATAACATGGTACATTGAAAAAAGTCAGTCTAATAAGATGCAGCAAGAAGATGCATAAATCAAATAAGTACAAGCAAGCAAACCATCACATGGTATACAGTTATAAATACAACACTAATCTTTCAAACAACTTTCTCCACTTCTGAAACTTTTATTTTCTGCAGGTCACAAAGCCTATGTGAGGAAGAAAAAATAACACGAATCAGTAAAACCACAGCCTAATACTTCTCACTATTCACGATCCACACTGCCGAACCTGTTTCAATGGCCTGAAAACTCAATCACATTCCAGTTTGAATGCTGAATGGCATTGCCAGCTGTCAAAGCAGTGACTCACATGCTGCGGGACGCTTTGTACCTTCGTTTATTTGAAATAGAAATCTTTCGTAAACATTAACTTTCATTGTACTGTCAGTTTAGATCAATTTAATGCATCCATGCGGAATAAATAAATACCTTTATTGAAACCTTATAGACCCCAAACTTTTGAACTGTAATGTACATCTATTTTAAACACGACTTAAATATGACTTCAGAGGAATATAGCACATATGGATTACTTGACACTTCAATGGTGTCTTTTGTCCTTTTAGGAGCTGAGCAGCCACAGGTCACGGTCAG